CGACCTTTGGGAGGTGCGTTATGAAGTCCAGAGATACACTTTCCCAGGGTCTTGTTGGCACAGGTAGAGGTTCCAAGAGTCCAGAGACTTTGGCTTTCTCGACCTTATCCTGTTGGCAGATGAGGCACGTCTTGGTGTATTGCATGATGTCGTCTCGCATGTTTGGCCAGAAGTACCCCTTCTTTATTAGGGCGTATGTTCTTTGCCACCCAGGATGTCCGGCCCACAAGGTATCATGACATTCCTGAATGAGTTTCTTCCTCAGTTCCCCCGTTCTTGGGACGTACAACCTGTTTCCTTTAGTTATCAGGAGGTCCCCCTCAACCCAAAACTGCCGTGTCTTTCCAGCCTTAGCTAGTTCGACAACAGCTTTGGCCGATGGGTCTTTGTGTAAATGTTCCTTGATGATGTCGCGCATCGATCCATCGATCTTACTTGAGTGAATGTGGGCTAACATGCACAGGGCCGCATGTTCGCCCTTTCGACTCAGCGCGTCGGCTGCTTGATTACTCTTCCCTGCTTTGTGTTCGAACTTGAAGTCGAATTCGGCCAACGACTCCTGCCACCGGGCTTGTTTTGCTGTTAATTTTGGTTGATCAAAGAAGTGGCAAGTGGCACTGTTATCCGTCCTCACTACGAACTGTGATCCTAAGAGATACTGTCTCCAGACTCGAAGGCAATGGACTACAGCCAGGATTTCTTTCTCGGAGACAGTGTATCTTCGTTCGGCATCGTTGAGCTTTCGACTTTCGTAAGCGATGGGGTGGCCTTCTTGAATGAGGACTCCACCGAGAGCAAAGTCGGAAGCATCGGTTTCTACTTCAAATGGCTTTGTGACGTCTACCAACCCGAGGACAGGACCCCTCGTCATGGTTGTTTTCAGATTTTCAAAGGACATTTGACAATCATTCGACCACAACCACGGGTGGTCTTTCTTCAACAGCTCTGTCAATGGGGCGGCTCGTCGTGAAAACCCTTCGACGAACCGCCTATAATAGTTGGCTAGTCCTAAGAAGGACCGCAATTCAGATACGGAAGTAGGAACCTTCCATTCTTGGATAGCTTTTATCTTGTCGCTATCCATACTAATTTCTCCACATCTGACGACATGTCCAAGGAAGTTGATGCATGTTTGTGCGAATGCACATTTCTCCTTCTTCACATACAGCTGGTTCTGCCGGAGCTTGTCAAACACTAACTTCAAATGCACTTTGTGTTCCTCGAGGGTTGTGCTGTAAACAACAATGTCGTCGAGGTATACTATGACGAACTGATCCAGGTATTCGTAGAAGACCTGGTTCATCAACGTGCAGAACGTAGCTGGGGCGTTTGTCAAGCCAAAGGGCATTACTAGGAATTCAAAGGCCCCATATCTTGTTACGCACGTCGTCTTGGGTTCGTCCCCTTCGGCAATACGTACTTGATAATATCCTGATCGTAAGTCCAACTTCGTGAAGTACTTGGCCCCGTGAAGTTGGTCGAACAAGTCGGATATTATCGGCAGAGGATATTTGTTGCGTACTATGCATAGACGCAACGTCCCATCTTTCTTCTTCTGGAATAGTACGGGGGCTCCATAAGGGGCCTTTGCCGGGCGAATGAATCCCGCCTTCAACAACTCATCTAGTTGTTTCCTCAATTCGGCTAGCTCGGGCGGAGCCATCCGGTATGCGTTCTTTGCTGGCGGCTTAACCCCGGGAAGGAGTTCGATTTCGTGGTCAATGCCTCGACGAGGTGGTAGTGTTTGTGGTAGACTCTCTGGCATGATGTCGGTATAGCTGTCTAGTACTTTCTTGATTTCCTCTGGGACAGTCTCTTCGGTGGTTACTTCTTCTATCAGTGGTATGGCCATAAATGTAGGTTCCTCTCGTGCGAGTCCCCTTTTCAGTTGTATGGCCGAGATCATTCGAAGATTACCTGGTTGCTTGATGCTTGCAGGTATTACTGTGGGATTACGGTCGGTGATCACCAAGCATTTTGCCAATGGCATTGGGATGACCTTGTGTTCTAGGAGGAACTCCATCCCAAGTACCACGTCGAAGTCATCCATGCGAACCACGACAAGGTCTAGCTCTCCAGTCCAATCCCCTATTTTGAAGGGGACTCTCTTGGAAACTCCCACAATAGGCAAGGCCTCGGAATTGACAGCTTTCATTTTCCCCGGGTCTTTTCCTATGGTGAGTCCCAATCTTCTGGCTTCTTGATCGGCAATGAAGTTGTGGGTTGCTCTAGAGTCTATCAGAGTGCTCTTGCTCGGTTGAGAGTTTATTGTGGCATCTACGAACATGAGCCCTTTCTCTAGTACCTCCTTCGGTTCGACTTTCCGTTGGAGGGCTGACAAGAATTTGAGTGCGCCCATTCGGGGGTTGTCGTGATCTTCCTTCTTGTCTAGCAAAGTCTCGACCCTTGCTTCATTGCTCTCTTGAATGGACACTTGAAGTGCAGTGAGAGAGGCCCGATGAGGACAGTATGATACTTTGTGGGGGCCTTTACACAGCATGCATTGCAAAGGTGTCGTCGGGTGGTTCTTTTGATGGTAATGCCCTCGAGAAGTCCCCGCTTGATTGTTCTGAGGAGGTCTATCCGTCCATCCATTCGGTCTGTTGGGACTTCCATTTCGCTGGCCTGGTGGTCTGTATGGTTTGCCCCCATTGTTTGGGGCTGGTGTCGCTCTTCTTTGGGATCCTGCTTCGTTCCCACAGTCTACGAGTCTCTCGGCACAGGCCATTGCGGCAGCTAGGGTTTGGACCCTGTTCTCATGTATCTTTGTTTTGGCCCACGGCTGTAGACCATTTATAAAGAAGAACACCTTGTCCTTCTCTGCTGTGCCCCTAATATCCAGCATCAGGGTTGAGAACTGTCTGACGTAGTCCCGTATGTTTCCAGTGTGTTTCAGGGCTACTATTTTCTCCATTGCTATATGTCCTGCATTTTCGGGGAGAAATTGTTCCCTCAACTCTCTCTTGAGGTCCTCCCATGAGTCGATGGTGCACAATCCATCCTCGATGTCTTGCACCTTCGTACGCCACCACAGTTTGGCGTCGTCTATGAGATACATCGCGGCTACAGTCACCTTCTTGTCGTCGGTACAAGCCGTTGTGGCTTTGAAGTACTGTTCGACGTCAAAGATGAAGTTCTCCAACTCTTTGGCGTCCCGATTCCCTTTGAAGGCTCTAGGGTCTGGGAACCTTAGTTTGTTGGATCCTGTATTAGTTTGTCCAGCCGCGACACCTTCCACGGCTTTCATGGTAATTTCAATTCGAGTGCTCATGGCGGCCATCCTTTCTTGGAGGTCGTCGACTGTTGATCTGAATTCATCAGCCAATCCATTGAACAAACTCATCATTGTGTTTTGTAGTACGTCGAACTCTTCGCCACGTCCCTCTTTGTGTGCAACAGAGCTATCCGGACTATCAGACGGTTTTGGGCTGCTCGTAGGAGCAACTCTTTCTTCGAGCGAGGTCACTCGAAACAATAGTTCTGCGATTGGCAACCCATCCAGGCGGTTGCCCATTGCGTCGACTTGGACGACTTTCTCACTCAGTTCGGTCACCCGTGTTTCCAGGAAACGGAGGGTGTCAGGGACTTCTTTGAGGAACAGCATTTCCTCCTCTATTAGCGTAAGCCGGTCGGCTTGTGCTTTGGGTGTCGACTTTGTCGTCGACATGATCTCGGTCTATATGACGTTACGGAGCTAACAGAGCTCTGATACCACTTGACACAATCGCGCTTTCGAAGGCAGCGGACTAGCGATTGTGCGGCACTCACTTTCCAGCGACAAGTGAGTTAAGCCTATTTGTTCTTGCGTCGCCTACGGCCAAGCGACGTACGGTCAAGCCTCTAGCCTCGGTTTTAAAAGAAGGTTTTAGAAAACGAGGAGAGAGAGATTTGAGAAAGAGAGATTTTAGAAAGAGACGTTATATAAGCAAGCAAGAGAAAGATAACAACGGCTTAGCATATATAACCTTGGGTAGGGAGAAGTTGACGACTAGTCATATCCCCCTATAGTACATTCTGGGCCATTTTAGTTCTGGCAGGCGTAGACATGATATTTTTGAGGTGTCATACGCTTTAGAATTACAAAAGGAAAAACACTAGAATGAAAAGACATGACAAGGGTTTGGCTTGTCATGGGCATGCGGCCATGGGCAACATGCCCTGGACAAGCATGACCGTGACACTCGGCTCCTCTCACAACCTCTAGTTGCACGTCGCCTGACTGAATTAAGCTCTAATTTCATCATCGATGTCCACAAAAGCATCAACAGCTCGTCTTGCTGTTCACAATTGTGTCCAGCTCATGGTTGAGACTCCAGCTTCATGTCCGACTCCACGAAAAGGATTACATTATGCTAACCATTCATGTCTCGGCTCATCTTCCTCGACAATTCAGTTTTGTCCATGAGCATTTGATTTTCCATTATTCATTGTATACCATTATATAGTCGACTAATTTTTTTCAGAATCATAATTCAACTAGTTAAAATATATCCCTCGAGCCTAGCAATATGTTTGGTTTTTGTTTTTTTTTTTTTAATTAATATTATATATAATGTTTAAGCCGAATGGTAGAAAATACCACAAAGGCAGTTGTTAATTAACTTATAGTCACTAACCAAACTCCCAAGGAGGATTGCTTCTTCTGGAGAAGAGATGTTATGGAGACTTGAAAGTCTCAACATACTCTAGAACAATCTTAGTTACAAGAAAGCCTCCTCCATGAAAACCTACACAGTCATAAAACAAAGGCACACACTATCGCATCGGGCACGAGCCTGCCACAAAGCGAGGTGCAGTATCGTTATAACTTAGAAACTACCAAACCACAAAGGAACAGATGTTTAAGAAGTTAACCGGTTAATCTTGTATATCACATCTTCAGTTATGAGCCATCTAATTTTATCATGGATCACAAATATTATGATATGAAATAGACAACATACGAACTCCCAATAGGCTTGAAATTTTCAGTATGCCAAGTAAAGTAGCGTACTTGCTCATGGGAAACATGGATCAAAATTATTCAGAAACTGAATTTCCACCCTCCAGTGCAGAAGAATATCAATTACATAACTAAAATAAGAAAAACTACAAAATCATTACGAGAAACACTCAAATTGAGCATTATGTTTCTGTGATAAACTTGGAACAATTCCATGTCTAATCTAGAACAACCACATAATGGAAGTACCTTATAACGAATGGAGTAGCTGAAAACATCTAATTGCCTATTCGTGCGGCAGTGGACAGAATTAGGCGACAAGTGTGCTAGCAGTAGTTGACTCGCTGAAACAAGGAGAAAAAAACCAGTTAATCAATCAACGGGGAGGAAGGATGATAGTAATTAATATATAAGAACTAAGTTTCAAATAGCAAAGCTAGAGAAAGGTTTCATTATCCTTCAACATCCAACCATAACTGGGAGTTGAATATAATGTGTTATTATCCCAGAATCCCTTTTAGGGGAAGAGAAGTGCGACCCACAAAGCAAAACGAAATGATACTTTGCATAAGGAGGGGAAATTTAACTCCATTCTAACGATTAGTAATTAGAGTGCTTAATATTGAGGATGATTGGGAGAGGAGTCCCCCATCGACTAATTAAGGGGTTGATCATGAGTTTATAAGTAAGGAGTATATCTCCATTGGTACGGGGCCTTTTGGAGAAACCAAAAGCAAAACCATGAGAGCTTATTCCCAAAGTGGACAATATTATACCATTGTGGAGGTCCGTGATTCCTAACATGATATCAAAGCTAGGCGAGATTCACCATCATCGGTGAAGATGGAAAGTTTAGCTCTCATGGTTTTGCTTGTTGGTTTTCCCAAGAGGCCAACCAAAAGGTTTCATATCAATGGAATGTATTCCTTACTTATAAACTCATGATCAACCCCTTAATTAGTTGATGTAGGACTCCTCCCCCAACAATCCTCAACAATACTCCCCTCGAATAAAGTACATCATAGAGAAACCTATGGAGCCCTCAAACGGCTATGTGCGACTCCTCTCCCAACAATTCTCAACACTTACAACAACAATCCATATTTAAGTTCTAATACAGATTAAAAAAAACAAAATAAACTACAGAGATTCAGATCAGTGAGCACTTACTATTTCCATACAGGTGGGAGCTTCTTGGTCTTCTTGTAGTAGCGGGCTAGCCGATGAATCCTGCTCTCGACAAGAATCAACCTAAACTTCGAGTCCTTGTCCTTCCTGTTCCTTTCCAAATGCTTTCTGATCGAGACGGCCTTCTTAATCAAATGGTAAAGATCCTCAGGAATCTCCGGAGCAAGCCCTTTTTGATAACAATGCAAATCACATCCATCAAAATACACGCTAAATTACCACTACACCAACAGCTTAAACCAATAGACTAAGATACATTTAATCTTCTAATCTATCAAACATCAGTAGGGGGATTCAATGCCACCAAACACAAATTGGCGAATGAGCATCAGATATACTTTTAACTGTTAAGGTTCAAAAAAGCATAAGATTTTCAAATACCATGAGCTTTAAGAATGCGCAAGATCTTGCTGCCAGTAACGCTCCTGACCTGAGCAATACCATGCGAATCACGAAGAATTACACCGATTTGAGACGGAGTCAAACCCTTCTTCGCAAACTTGCAGATGTTTTCCTCAACCTAATCACCAAACACACAACATGGATTCAATAACTGCTCGTTTCAATCAAAGTATGCTGCAACTCAAACATTGTAGATAATGGTACTTACATCTTGAGAAGAAATCTTGAGCCAACTCGGTGGAGTCCTCTTGTACGGCAATGCTGACGCCGAAATACCTTTTCTGCAACCACAAATGAGAGGAAGAATTGAGCCATTGAATCGGAGGGATTGGAAGATGAGAAATAGAATGAGAATGAAAAGAGAGAAGAAGAGGAACTGACCCTCTGCTGTGCATACGACCCATTGTTGACGACTTTGGTGAGCACGCAAAAGCTCTCTATCGCTGCCACTCGACCAGACACGAAACCCTAGCTCTTCTCATATGGGCCTTCGTTTTATAGTTTTATGGTTCTCCTAAATTATATAATTATCTCTAAATTACGTAAAAAGAAATTCTGTTATCTAAATTTTTTTAATGAAAAATGGGAAAAATTAGTTTCAATAATAATACCTCTCCGGAGTGAGGACGAGGAATATAGTCTGATATTGGTGGGAGAGGAGAACGAAACATTCTTTATAGGTGTGTGGAAACCAATTGATGCGTTTTAGAAATCTTGAGAGGAAGCTCGAAAGAAAAAATTCAAAGAGAATAATATTGAGCTGTAACAAATGGTAACAAAACCAGACACCAGGTGCTGTGCTAACAACGACGCTGAGGCGGTGCGTTAGTGAGGACACTGGACCGTGAAGGGGCGTGGACACGAGGTAGTGTGCCAGTGATGACGATGGGGTCGAAAATGGGTGGATTATGAGATCCCACACTAGTGGGAGAGAATAACAAAACATCTTTTTAAGGGTGGACAAAGCATCCTAAACCTATTTGCTAAGTTTTCAAAATTTAAAACTTACGTTACACGAATCACTCTCACCCATGCAAATCAAAGAACAACCACATACAGCGAGTCCATAACTCACTAAAATCATTAAATATTTTGTGGTTAATCTTACAAACTCGATATGGTACTTTATTTACATATTTACACGTGAGCGATTTAAATCAAATTATTTGTAATAATTATAAAATTAATCGTATCAATTTTCTTATTTCAATCTTATCCATAGTATATCAATTATAAAATAATAAAAATAATAATTAATTACGAGGCTTACATTTTTTTTCACAAGCAAGTTTAATTCACTAATTTTCTTTTTTCGGTTATATTTCCATTTTCCCGTTCCATAAAACAAGAACAAAAATACGTCACCTCCCACTCTCTGGCGAGCGTCAAAGGGAAAGGAAAACAGAGAGAAAAAAAAGAAAAATCAGAGCTCTGTGAAGATTCAAACCTAAATCGAAACCAGAGATGGGCAAAGATCTGAGCAATGATCAGAAATCCTCCATGAGAGAGGCCTTCACCCTCTTCGACACCGACGGCGATGGCCGGATCGCCCCATCGGAGCTCGGGATCCTAATGCGTTCTCTCGGCGGCAACCCCACTCAAGCCCAACTCAAAGCCATTATCGCCGAGGAGAATCTTACTGCTCCCTTTGATTTCACTCGCTTCCTCGAGATCATGTCCAAACACATGAAGCCCGAGTCCTTCGATCGCCAGCTTCGCGACGCCTTCAAGGTTCTCGACAAGGACAACACCGGCTACGTCCTGGTGTCCGAGCTCCGACACATTTTGACTAGTATAGGTGAGAAGCTGGAGCCGTCGGAGTTCGATGAGTGGATTCGAGAAGTGGAGGTTGGACCGGATGGTAAAATTCGGTATGAGGATTTCATTGCTCGAATGGTGGCCAAATGAGGAGGGAAGTTATGGAAAATTGGTTTTGTGTGCTTTACTCGACTGCTTTCTGAAGTAATTTGTGGCGATCTTTGTTGTTTCTCTTTTTTCCCTTTTCTTTCCAATTTCTGTTGATTGGTTTCAGATTACAAAACTTGCTTGGATTTTGGTGGGATGGATGCGGGTGATGTTCGCATACTTCCCCAAGTAATGCTAATATTATTTGGAAAGATTTAGGATTATAATGGGATGAATATGTGTGGATGGATTCGAGGTGTATTGAAAACTGTGGTTTTCTGGGTATCTTAGGATCTGTTGATTTGTATGTGTTTCATAGCTTAAATTGCTAAAAATGGTTAGCTTCTTCCGCAATTTACTGTTCCGATGGTTGATTTTTCTGCCGGCCCTTTAAGTTAGTGAGACTGAGTTAGTGCCTTCATGTTCACCATGCCATGTTTTAGTTTGTAAGATCTGAAAGATTAATTAATCTTCTATTCCTTTTCATTTGGCATAGCCTTTTCTTTCTACATTGCCTCCTGAGATATGCATATGTTTTATCTTCAAATCCTCCTGATATATTTTTGGTGTTCTAGGTTTAATTATAGTTTATGTTTGAAATGTGTGAAGGATCTGTTGCTCAACGTAAGAGTTTCTAATGCGGTGAATTGAGTCAAAAAAAGCGGCCGAGGTTGGTTCTAGCCTCCATTTTTATTCTATGTACTTTTTTTCAACTAGATTCCTCTCAATTTCAACAAGAGATCATTGATGCATGAGTGGGATGAACAGATTCTTTCAAAACTTGCATCTTTCTGTGTATTTGAGAGTCTATACCTTCTGTCGGGTTCTGAGACGATAGAGTAAAGTCTTTAGTCGTTCGGCTGTGGAGGTACAGGAGATCAGTTCCGGACCTATAGTGTTCTTTTTTACCATATAGCTTTTTAACATTCTTTTTGCTAAGAGTTATGAGGAAACATTGTAGTTTATACCTCAGGATCATAGTTTTGCTCTCTGTTGAAATTCTGTGCATTCATTGGATTTAGAATTAATAAGATTTTGAAGGTTCTAAGTTATCTTCGTTGGATACTGGGTTGAGGTTTGTGGTGCAGTTTAACATGGATCTGTTTGGAATGTTACATTCCGAGTATGATTACTTCATATCCCAACTAGTGAGAGTCTGCCTTTTGCCCTTGAAAAAAACATGTACTTTGGAAGTTCATAGCCGAGTTTTATGAGAAAATTCATGGATCTTGTAAGCTGATCGGAGGAATAGAAAATTAAATGGAGTCTTTGCTTTAAACAATTTTGTAGGTCTTGTACTTAAGGAATTAGGAACTTATGACTAGTAGGGTTAAGACCTCTCCATAAAATGGAGGCTTTTTTATTTATTATGTAAAGCTTTACGAAGATCTTGTAAAACGTTAACTGCATTTTATGGATACCAAGAAACAGAGCTGGTCTGTGGATCATGTCAATGACTCTGGTTGATGAATATACTCCAGTCAGGTTTAAAGCTTCAGTTTGTGTTGAGACCAACTGGAGACCTTTAGTTCTTATTTAGTGATCACTTTTTTACCTGGATCAAAGTTGGATATAGAGGGTGGATTCTTGATTATTCAAGGACTTCCTTGTCCGAGTTGGGGACTTGCATCTTCTTAGCAGCAATCCCATACTTCATAACAATCTTGTAATGGCCAAAGCCCACCGCTAGCAAATATTGTCTTCTTTGGGCTTTTCTTTTCGAACCTTCTCTCAAGGTTTTTAAAACGTGTCTGCTAGGAAGAGGTTTCCACACCCTTATAAAGAATGTTTTGTTCTCCTCCCCAACCGACGTGGGATCTCACAAATCTGATCAGGGATATTTGGACGGGAAACCACCCCCCACCACACGCATGCGCACACACACCGATTTAAATGACTTTTTGGTGGTTTCCTGACCTTGAAGATATTAATGTTGAATTCAAAGTATGAATCCACTCATTTTTCTCTCTTCTCATCATTGTGTTCATAAGTTTTACAGTGTAATATTAGCAAAGCTCTACCCTCCACATGGCTTTTGTTCATCTTCTCTTATCAAACTCAATTAGAAAGGTGCTTTTGTAACCTTCCTTTGGGTCTGTGAAGTTTCTTTCCTCAGTTGTTTAACATGCATATATTGTGATCATGGAAGAAGATGAAGAAGTGGCCTGTGATTGTGTTATTTTCATTTTATGTGAAATTTTTCCTCAATATTTGCTAGTAGCTGTCTTCAACCCTACTCATATCTGCTGCATATTGCTTTGACCAGTTTAGCTGGTTACCTTATGTGTAGCCCTTTATATTCTTTTATATGCATCTTCTAGATAAACCATAGGCCAAAACATTTCCTTCATCCTTAGTGTTCGGTACTCCGACTTGCTCATTATGCGTCTCTTTCTCTTGCAATATTGCATTCGTCGCAATAAATAAGAGAGGAAATTCGAACCTATGCTTATAAAGTGAGACATTAGATGTCTAACAAATTGAACCATATGTTTAGGTTGGTAGCTCTTATGTTAGTTAAGATAGGTAGAAGGTGCTGCTGTTTTGAACTTTGTATGTTGTTTCTCGTTACTCATCTTCTAATCTATCAATTCTTGTGAGATCTCACATCGGTTGGAGAGGAGAAAGAAACATTCTTTATAAAGGTGTGGAAACCTCTCCACAGTAGACGTGTTTTTAAAACCTTGAGAAAAACCCGGAAGAAAAAGTTTAAAGAGGACAATATCTGTTAGCATTTGGCTTGGGCGGGTACAATTTTGATCACCAAGGTATATAGATTTTCCATTGCACCATTATTTTGAATTGACTATGTTTGATTGTACTGTCATTAAAGCATGCATCTGACCAAAGCTGCTGTTTGTTTTAGGGAAAAGGCATATGAAATATGTATATCTTTCTTGAAAATAAAGGCCCTTTAGCTCTCTTAAAGAGATTTTTCTCTTTATTTTCTTTCCATATGGCTGATCATGTGCCTTCACTATAAGCAGGTTTGTTCGAATCCAGACCGGTATTGGTTAAATTACGACTTATGTCCTTGAAGTTTTAAGTTTGTGTTTAAAGGCATTTTGAACTTTTATTTTTATGTCTAATAGTTTTTTAACTTTTGAAATGTTGAATGAAACGTAAATTCCAGCTTTATAAATCTTGGTCTCGAGAAAAAAAAATTGAACCTCAAATGGGTCAAAAGACTGTTGGGTGATGTTTTTGTTTCTTGGGGTTTATAAAAATGTTGTATTGTTTTATTATTATTTATTTAAGAAAGACATTTTTTTATAAAGAAAAATAATTTAAATTTAATATAATAACTTTAAATGTTTCATTTTAAAAAAATTATTTTTTCATGTAATTTTTTTATTTTTTTAATTTGAAATTTGAGAGAAATAAATTAGAAATGGTTACCATATGCATTATTATTTCTTTCTCAAATAAAAATTAGAAATAAATTAATAAAAAATGATTTCAATTAGTTTTTTATTAGAAAAAAAAATTGTGTGTATGTTACTTTATATTTCTGAAAAACACTTTTGAATTCAAGCTTTAAAAAATTGACATTAAGTTTGATTTTTTTTTCTTTTGCAAAAAACGATAAATAAACAAAAAGGGAAAAGTAATATTTATAAGATAATTTTTTAAAGGAACATAAAATAAAGATGAAAAACCCTTCATGCCCTTGAATGTTGTGTAATTAAATGTATTTATAAATCCATTTAAACCCTAAAGTATATTAATTAAAACTCTTAAGTGAATTGACTGAGAACGAAATAATTAAGTGATTATAAATGAAACTATGTGAAATTAATTCACCTATAAAAAAAATCATTATTTAAATAAAAAAAAAAAAAAAAAAAAAAAAGCTTAGAACATAATAGTCAATTTTCTCAAATGCATGAACAAGAACATTAATTGTTTCTCTAATTTATTTTCTTTTTTCATTCACAAAAATAAATAAATAAATAAATAATTGGGTAAGTCAAGCTTGAAAATTTAGGAAATTAATTATAAATTGTAGACCTTTATTTTCCACTCTCAATCAATGTCGCAAATGGTGGTAATGTAACCTTTGAAATTTCAACCACAAAATATCACCTTTTCCACGTCACTAATTCCCCATTTTCTCCTTCTTTAACCCATCATTATCCCTAATCCTAACTATATTTCATAACCCTACCATTAGGGTTTAGGGTATCCTACGTCAACACGAGTTCTTTCTTTATACGTTGTCCGTACGTACTCATATGCTTATTGGAAAAAATTTATAGATAGTAACTATCAATTCTTTTAAACATTTTTTAGCTATCATATCTTCTGCATCACTATAATTTCAATATAATATTAGTTCATTTATCCATCATCTTTAACTCGAGAGTCACATTGTTATTGTCTCTTGATCTCGTGACAATGATCAATCTAGTAATCTTATAATTACGTTCTCTCAATCAATCAAACTTAAAAGCATATTAGTGTTCATCCTATTATAGTAAGAAGGACATGGTGCAATATTAATTAATTAATAGTACACCATCAAACTAAAGAAAAGTCAATGTCATAAATGATCTCAACATTGAACATTCCATCCAAATTCAAATTTTAAAATTTAAAATTATATATATATTTTTTACTCATTTCTCTCTCAAATAATTTTGAAATCTCTCTCAAAAGTTGTTCAAAAATGGAAATAAAACAAAATAAAAAATAAAAAGGCAAATGTTAATAAAAGTGAGAGAATACTTGTTAAATTTTTACACAGTTCAAATATAAAAAAATTTACGGGTCACAACACATCACTAAAATCATGTTGATATATTTTAAAATATAGATTGTGGTCAGACTGATTGGATCAAGAAAATGTCAACCGGCAAATGGAACGAAATTTTTTTAGATTTTTTTTTTAAAAAACAACTAAACCCAAACCGAAAAAAATCTTATCGGATAGTTTACGTTAGTCGAATCGTATGAATATCGTTAATTTAGGATTTTATTAGACATAAAAAAATTATTTTTATATTTAAGTAAGAAACATATTAAAGACAATTTAAAAAAAAAAAGAGTTTGGCGGTAGAGTTAGTTGAAAAGTAACCTTTTTTCCTTAGCTTTGTGCTTTCTACTTTATTTTCTCCTTTTAATTGATTTTTAATCATTTCATTTATTCAAATTCAAATTTTTTTCTTTTTAATATTTTAATAAAAAGGAATATCTCTTTTTGGTATTTATTTAATATTTTCAGTTTTTAAATTTGGCATTATCCTTATAATATTAAAATATAAAGATTTTGAACTATATTATTAAATTAGTAATTTTAATACGTCAATTTTCTACAATAACGGGCAGATTTGGACCATTGATTACTCAATCGT